ATACATACATACATTCATACATACATATATATATATATATATATTTATATATATATATATATATATACATACATTCGTACAAACATACATACATATATACGTACATACATACATATATATATATATATATGTATATATATACATGCATACATACATACATTCATACATACATACATATATATATATATATCAATTATATTATATTAATATTCATAATATTATTAGTGACCTAATAGCTATTCCGAGTATTTGACATGATTTTTTTTTCAGTATTGCATATGCTTTTATTTGGCATCTTCAGTTTTCGAAATTAACATATTTATTTTTCAGAGACATTTGTATTTCTGATTTATTTTCAAGTTGAATGGAATCATGCGTGACATTTATTGCACGAAACATATATTTGTATATTTGTATATAGCAGTTTATTTCAAAACAAGCGTTGTTGGTGGCTTCATCTTGTGCTCTTGCTCATGCGGGATCTAATTTTTCAGTTTCCAGCATATTGATGACTTCATTCTACTCTGTACAGATATTTTGCAATGTCCATGTTTCGCAACAGCCTGAGACAGGCCAGTTTGGCATCTTCCGCCCTGCGCACCAGTGCTTTGCGAAGAAATGTTCTACGCACAACCACTCTGCGCAGCATGTCCGCAATCAGTAAGTGGTATTGTTATGCAAACTCTCTATCATATTCTTGAGCTATTGGTTTGTGTTGAAATATATACGCAGTTGTTTGTAGCCGGGAATGATTTGATTCAATTGACCGCTAATAGATTACCATAATGCGACCGTTGTATTACCGTGTAAAACTGTATAAAGATCCATGTATCCCTTCTTTATTTGTTAAGAATTAAACGAGTTCCTGTTCAGTTTGATCTATTTGAGCTCCCGTGTTTGTACAAATTGTATTATTTTAATAACCCACCCCATAAAATATCGGTCACCCTTTGAACTCTCGTGATCATGTGTTTCCACTTCCACATGTGCCCTGCTGAACATCCTCTGCTATTTTTGATTTTAAAGTTGTAATTTCTCGACTTCAACTTCAGGCACGAACACTGCTGGTGTAGCTGGAATTGTTTCAGGAGATGACCAGGCCGTCGGTTTGGAGAGATACCAGCGCGAGGAGTTCGCCAAGGGAAATATGGTGAGTACGCTAAAAGTATTTTGTGTTCAATGTCATTTGTTCGATCAACATTGTCAATTGAAATTTGCCCAATAGTATCGCGATTTCTGAGAAAATCAAACTTAATTTAAAAAGTTCTTTTGTCAGTGCTTGTGAGTGCTGGTTGAAATTGTGCTACCAATAGAGGAAATTCATGGGCGTCTCATACAACAAATTCATAGGCGTTTCATACAAATCGCATGTTGAGAGTAACATAATATATTTTTATTTGTTCATAGGATCCATTCTTCAAAGATTTGAGATGCTACCACTTCGGAACTGAGGAGAACCCTCACCTGGTGCCTTCTTTCCGTGAGGATAGAATCATTGGTTGCACGGGAGGAACCGGCCTGAATGATTCCCCCCGTCCCCACGAGACATTGTGGTACAACGTGGTCGCAGGCACAGACTTGGAGTGCAACGAATGTGGACAAGTGTTCCAGCTAATTCAACTGCAGTCTCCTATCCCGATCCCTGACGGCACTGACATGCACCATTAAATGAATTCTCGTTGCGACACTTCTCGGATGAGTGTGCGATAGTGGATCAAATGGTCTTTAATGTGTATGAATGAATCAGGATTAAACTACGGAAGCCGAATGGCTCAATGCGAAATGACAATACAAAAGTTTGGGTTGTCTGATTTTTACTTTATTTCTAGAAATGGAAACTAAGCGTCTTTTCGATTGATTCCTTCCCTTTGGGGTTAGTTCTCCAGTAATAGAATCCTAGCTAGTAAGACTGCAGCTCAGACACAGTCACATACATAAACACAGACACAAGTCTCACACACACACACACACACACAAACACACACATATATATATAGATATATATATATATAAATATAGATATAGATATAGATATAGATATAGATATAG